AAGCGGGTTCATTTTGATATTGTCTCATAAACTGCATGACTTTTTTAAAATAAGTTTTTAGATATTCCTTTTTTTTTTTTTTCATTTTTTCATCTTATAGTAAGGGCTACTTCAGTGCTTCACTGTTTGGCTGACAGGGTGCTCAGTATCTAGCTGCACTTGGCTCAAAGATTGAATTCTGCTGTCCCAAATATGCCCTGTGTGTCCCAAGGGACACTGCTCGCACAGCAGGTCTTGTGGAATGCAACTGTGAAGGGTAAAGCTTTGGTTGCGTATTAGATTTCCTGTATCCAAGTATTCTTTTTATATCATCCAGAACTTCATCTCCGACAAAATATTTTAGGAATATCCTTGTAAAATTTCCTTCAGCTCATTATTGACTATAAAGAGTACTGGAATGGTTTATTCGTGATTATGCTAGAGAGCTGTGTGCAGCTGTCATCCCACAAAAAGATCACCCTGGTAACACCAATCAACAAGCAGAGTAAGATGATCCAAATATAACTGAAACCATCTAAATGTTGTCTTTCAACTGAAATATAGAGGCACAACTTCATACCAAACTTCGCCTGGTGAAGTGAGATCTTTGAAAAGGCCTGTAGACATCATTACTCAGTGATGAAAGGCCATTGATGTTCAGTTTACATTACACAGTGGAATCTGAGAAAGGGCCTACACGGAGAGAGAGCTTGGAGAATACCCTTAAAATAAGTAATTAGTTCAACATAGTTTGAAAGAAGTCATTGGGAAAAAGAGAATTGCCATACTGGATTCATCTTCCAGTTTTCAACTGACACTGAACAATGACCAGTACTGAAATTTTTGCTGTAATTTCTAGTAGTGGTAGGAGAAACTTCCAGATAGGAAGCCAGTAAATTAGTTTATCCTTAAGGTTGTGTACAGTGCCTATACTGCAATGACATGCAACTGATATCGCAGTTCAGCTCGGAGACGAACCATACAAGTAAGTCTGCACTTGTCTCAAGCCTCCTAACTATATCCACATAGAAGACGGAAGAAAATGTGTTCTGGGGTCACTGGAAAAATGCAGCTCATATTCCCTGATGCCATCTGCAAATCTGCTTAGAGAAAAGAGGACAGAGAGAAGGTTTGGAGGAAGAGAGGCACCGACACACCTACCTGAGGACAAGGTACACCTATAGATCACGCCTGCATTATTATTTGGCTTGGGATGATCCATATTACTGTTTACACTTCCTTCTAATGCAATCACACAGAGACAAGCAAGACAAACAAATGAACGAAGAAAACCCCCCAAATTGTGACCAATGTTGCTGGAAAGGACTTGGTCTTGTCAGCACGGCACAGTGGTGACATGGGAGGCAAAGGAAAGTGCTCGAGCAGTGGGTTACCTCTCCGTGCACCTTCTCGTCGTACTGGTTCAGGTAGCCAGTTACAGTCCATTGCAGTCCACAAACTGCAGGTTCTGCAGCACCAAATGGGCATGTAGCTTAATTACAAAGCAACCTTGCTGTTTATTATTTCATTATTACTGTGGATAGATGATGATTTTACACAACGTTTAGTATATATGTAAAACATACTCTAAAACACATGCTTTTCAGGATTTTTTTAATGTGCTGTCAAAGTATTTTTGGCAGTAATCTCTTCTGTCCACAAACCTCACAGGCCCTTGTGTCCTGAATCTACAAGTGGAGGTTTTCATTCAGAGCCATGCGTAACAACTTAGATCTAAAAGCCTGCATCAAACACTATTTTGCTTCAATATTCTTACTATTCTTTTTTATATATTTATTAATACTATTTTTTTTCTAATTCCAGGACTTTTGAATCATGACAAATAGACACGCTTTAGACATTTCTGCACACAACCAGGAAAAGTCACTATCACATGTGACTTTAGTAGGAAGCAAAGTCAATGCAAAGCTATTTCTTGCTTTTTTTCTTATTAATTGTATATCATTACCCTTTGTATTACAGCAAAATATAGAGGGTAGATTATTAATCTTTCACATAACTTTTCACATTATCAAATTAAATTATTATATAGCTCCATCTACTCAGTAAAAGCAGAAGTTAGAATGTGAAGATTGTTTTATCAGCTCCTACAACACTATAAATGTGATTTAAATTCAATATGAATGTCATGTTCTATTGTCTTTCTGCAATGACATTTGCCAACATATCAGTTCTCGAGGGCACTGATGCCAGCCCCTTCTAGAGATGTACAATGGAATTGGCTACATATAATAGTTTCTATAGAAATTGCCTGTATAATTTAATACAGTATGACCTAATTTCAATATAATTGTAATCATCCTATAGAGTTCTGTCATTCTTCTGTTTTCCTTCAGTTTCTGCTTTTGATAGAGTATACTCTTACTGCACTAGCAGTGCCAAGAATCTCTAGGAAATTGAGTGGCAAAAAATAAGAATGGTGTGCTGGGGTGCGTATATATATTTTTAAAACAGCTATTGGTTGAATGCCAGTCTTGCCCCAGATCTCCAGTTTTATCAGCAGAGCCATGCGAAAGGGGAAGAAGGCTGGAAGACAAAAGATCACATAGAAACTTTTTCTTCATAACTGGACAGAGACAAGGGTGGAGGAGGATCTTCTACTTTAAGGATGCTCCCCTCTCCCTATATTCACTGGCAGGAAATTCAGTGAACTACTGCTTTATTGTTTGGAGATCCTTCTTTCCCTGAGCATGTGAGTTGCAGCCAATTTATGCTGACCATTTATCCTCAGGAAAATGCAAAATGTCCCCAGGTAGCATATACCACATTGCATACATTAAATTGTACAATAAACCTCTTCAGCTACTTACAAGATTTTTCACTCTGCCCTGCAGAAAAAAAGCTCAACTTTTTTGACTCAAAAGTCCAACTTTGCAGTATGTTACTGTCAAACAGCACGTCACTAGAAGCCTTTAAGGACATTTGGAACTTCAGAGGTCATCTGCAGGTATCGCAAGACTTAGTAGTGTTTTCCTAAAAATAAGAGGAATCTCACACACACACACACACACTCACACATATACACACACATATTCCAGCCTTGTGGATGCAAGATTATGGCTCTATAATGTCAGTTTATCACAGCGCTGCATATACGGCTACCAAGAACAAATACAAATCGTGAAAAACATCTGTAAGACCCTATAAGCAATTTGTCAGAATACTTTAGAGCCCATGTATAATAAATGAAGAACACATGTTTCATATGAACCACATGAAACTAGAGCTGTACAGAATGCTTTGCCAGAGACTTGAACAGCTGTGGACATCACCTCTCCCTCCCTCGCTCCAGCTTTAAAAGGCTTTATTTTCCTTTCAGCTTGACAGGTGATGTTTACAGTAGTGTCAGTCTTCCCAAAAGACGGCTTCTCCAAAATATCCCGGTGACTATTTCCATCTCTTTGAATGTTGCCTTTCAATTTTTATTTTAGATCTCGGGCACTTTCTGCTGATTTACAAGGGGTCCTCGCCGCACCACCCTTACCGCATTCTGACAGGGCATCAAACACCTACTGACCTCTATGTATACATAAGTAGCAAGCTACATACTACACAGTACTGTCTGCCTGGTAGCTACAGTTAAGAGATGGAGAGTTTTGTTACTCTTCTGCTCCGACTGAGTGCAGACACCCAGAGCCCTTTCTAGGTGTCAGAATTCCCGAGCTTGTCCCCTCAGAGAGGCTACGGATTTATCCTTTCTGAACAGAATATAAGGTGGCAGCTTGGAAGTCTCCCTGCTATTACATTTTTTTTTTAAAACTCATATTTAGGTCACAGCTTTAGCATTATTCAGAAGGATGCATTTCTTTACACGGAGGAAAAAAAAAAGAGCAATGAAACCCCCCAATGGTGTCAATGAAACACTGCCACTTCTGTGTAAAGCGGTGGTATAATTATTTCCCTGTAGTCCTCCTACTCCACCAGTTTTTGCTTTGTTTCTCAGACAACAGCTTCCTGCTTCTCTCATTCCTGTTTCAGATCTCTCTGATAATGATTATCAGTGGGAGTAGAAGATGCTTCCTTTTATTAAATCCCCAAATATTACCTCACATACTTTCTGATGTCTGCAGTGATCCACCAAAGCTCACAAAGGAGGGACAGCTTTTGTAGTTTATATCACTGTGTTATAATATATTTTAGTATTGAATTTTGTGTACTTATTGTAAGTACTCCTTGTAACAGTACAACATCCAAGACATTTGAATAAACATTCTATTACTCAAGTGAGTCTAACATTCATTATAATATATAATAAATTTGCAGCTTTATTTTATTTTATCTGGTTAACAAAAGCAGCAAGAATGTAAAATGCTTTCTTCGACACCGAACATATGCATTCACCATGTATATTTAAAAAAGCCCCAACTCACTGGTGATAAGGTAGCTGAAATAGCCCCAAGTGTCCCTGAAGAGCTACTGTGTGCTGTGTAAAAGCTGAATAATCCTCCCTATGTCAGAAGGTGACTCTTCAGCTGTTCAGGATCATGAGTCGATATGCTACCACTCATAAAACAAGATGCAAAACACAAGAACATACTTTTAGGTAAAGACCCTCTAAGATGGTATTGGAATTAATCTGCAAGAACTGAAAACAACATTGAAACTGATCTAGCAAAAGTGCTCCAAAACCAAAACACAAAGAATACAGCAAATTCAGCCACAAATAAATTCACTTGGAATATGAAAATTTTGCGTCACGTTTGGCTCATTTATCTTTTTTTACAAAGATAATTGGAAAAAAAGAAATATGTTCAGAACACACTTTTAGTTTAAATACTGAACACATTATTTGTATAACAAGCAGAAGTGCAGTTTCTGCAAAACTACTGCAGCTCCTTATTGTTCAGTGATCTGACTAAAATACATTTATGAAGGCACATTGATAGAGGAAAAAGTTTCAATCATTTGTGTTTGTTTTAACCATCAAAATAGGGGAATTCACTTTGGCCCCTGTGCTTAAAAAATATGACTTTGATTTTTAAGATCTCGGATCTCAATATTTTTAATATTTAGTTTTAATATTTACATGGTAGTTTCTTCCCATTCAAGCTCCACGTCACCTACAAAAAAAAAAAAACACACATCACATTCTTACCTTTTATATAAATGGTAACCAATAGCAGGTAACCTGGCTGAATATAAAAGATCTTGTAGGGATGTGACAGTGGGTAGCTTGTCCAAGGAGTATTACCATGAGGGAGGTTAAAGGGCTCCAAAGTCCCAGGCCTGTACAATTCAGAAGCTAAGAAATGCTTGCTGAAATACCTTTTTTTCCCTGCTGCTTATCCTAGAGAAGTCAATGTACCTGCTAGGAAAAACCAATTTTGGGACCACCTGCATCTACCTACCTTCCATGGCATCCAGAGAGTCCATCTTTTGCAGTGCTGAGTAGTTTACAAAACATATGGGCTGACTGCTTCCCTTGCTTGTCAACAGATCCAGTACACACTGATGCAAAAATATATACTGTGCCTGTAGTATATGAATTTAAAGGCATTCGATTAGAAGAAAAAATGCATTTCTAATAGCAAAAACCTTTTACCTTTTTAAAATATAAATGTCCAGGTGGTCTTAAAGTAATTGCAGTTTAACTCGACCATCTTAACACTTTCATTATCATAGCATATACATGTGACCTGATTTCATTAATTATGAGATATTTTGTGCTAAATTTGCCAAAAGATGTTAATTCTTATGCTCCGTGAAATGTATGACATCTAATATATATAATATATAAGAATATATAAATATAATACATATTATATAAAATATAACATATAAAAACATACTAAATATAACTGAGAAAAGACTGTTCCCCAAATTCCTGTGAGAGTTTGTTCTATGAAGAGATGCATCATTATTTTTTATGTTCAGACTATATTCAGACTGAAGTTACAGTACCGCATAAATAGAAAACTTAAACATGAGAACTTTTCTCTTTCCACCATACAGAAAACCAGCAGGGTGCACTAAAATACAAAAAATTCTAGTAAATCTGTGTGTTCTAGAAGTGTGCATCATTGCTAAGAGCCAAAACGCCCTATTTTTAGTGATACTTTCTTGGACTGTGGCATCATTTGTAAGAGACCAAACTTCTGAGGAAATAGTAACTCCAGGTAAAAATTGAGAAAAGAGAAAAACAAAAAGGGTGAAAATAGGAAGAAACGGATTATGCATATCTTTACATGGGAGAAATACTGAATGTTGGAAGACCGATGTACATAAAAGCAGGGTATGATTCAACAGATTTCTTTGGCTTTTGTGCAGATAAATACATTATTATTACTCAATAACTGCTATTTTATTTCAGAACTGTTAACTGTTTTCAATTCAAGTGTATAAATTCGAGGATTTACCAGAGGAATTTATTTACATGTTTGTATCTTAGGGTCATGGGTCCAATCCTTCTATATATCTAAGACAGGCTTTTACAGGCCCCTGAGAGATGCTTTTTCACTATGTTATTTACTGAAACAATAGCCTGGCATTACTTTGTGCTAGCCTTTGTACTGATACCTGGGAAATGTATGGGTGCTAAAGTATTTTCCCTGCTATTTAATAACATTCTTCATTATTTTAAGGTTTTTGAATGGTTGGATCTGAGAGAGAAAAGAAGTTTCACTAACAAGTGGTCTATGCACTTCACCTTTGGTTGAAGGGCAGGCCTAGCTAGCGTGCAGGTCATCATGCAGAGTGCCAGGACAGTGAGACTGCAGCTACGTTAGGGAATTACAGTGTCTGGGCACAGTGTCAGTGACTGAAACCTGATCATTAAAATGACTGCAAATTGCTTGATCTGTCCCTCCCTTGGCCTTGATCTATACCAGGAGTCAGTACAGAGCGTGGGTTATTCCTTATAGACGGACTGGGTGCAGTAGCTTTTGTGGGGAGTGTGGTAACTGCAAAGTTGCCTGGTTGTACAGATGTAGGTCGTTCTATGACAGTTGGCTACAGGACCAAAGAATGGCTCTGTCGGCAAAAGGGAAACTATTTTGAAGTTACAAACAGGAGAAAAAAGGTCTGAGAGCAACCATTTTTTATTTATTTTGCTCACAGTACAAGAGGGATGTGGAGCTGCTGGAGAGAGTCCAGCGCAGGGCCACAAGGATGATCAGGGGCCTGGAACATCTGCCCTATGAGGAGAGGCTGAGGGAGCTGGGCCTGTTCAGCCTGGAGAAGAGAAGGCTGAGAGGGGATCTGATCAGTATCTATAAGTACCTCAAGGGAGGCAGTGAGGAGGATGGTGCTGGCCTCTTTTCACTGGTGGCCACTGACAGAACTAGAGGTAATGGCCACAAACGGAAGCATCAAAAGTTCCACAGGGAACTTAAGGAAAAATTTCTTAACAGTGAGGGTGACAGAGCCCTGGAACAGGCTGCCCAGAGAGGCTGTGGAGTCTCCTTCTCTGGAGATCTTCCAAACCCACTTGGACGCAGTCCTGCGCCACGTGCTCTAGGTGACCCTGCGTGTGCAGGGGGGTTGGACTAGATGACCTCTAGAGGCCCCTTCTAACCTTAAGCATTCTATGATTCTATGACTTGAGGGATTTGTAAGCTGAGTTCTGTAAAGGAATGAGGCTCTTCTCTTAATGTGTTCCATGCCAATCACATAAAATCCAAATTATAGACCACTAAACTGTTTTATAACAGAACTGCCAGAATAGCTTGACTACAGAATCCCTCATAAATCTCTCTAAGATTCAGGATTTGGGGAGTAAGTTTCAGTGCTGCTCTGCACCTTGTCATCTTGCAAACGTGACTTAGAAATGACCTGTACAGAACAACCTGTCTTGGGATTTTGCCAAGAGGATGCAGGATAACACTTCCTGTCTTTGATCTTGTTTGAGATCAGTGCTGTGAGAGCATCTTCTCCTATTACATTTTGGCACGTCTTTTTCTATCCTTTGCCAAAATATGCAAGTGCAGGGGTGAGGAAAAAATGATGCACATTTTAAAAATGTGCACTGATCTTCTCAAATGTCTTCCTGCTTGAAGGTTTCATTTTGGGAGGACTCTCATGTTGTCTTCCAGCATAAGAACTGTAGTTTCAGATGAATCTATTTGTGGTCAGAAGTGTAAAACAAAAACAAATAAAAAAGGCCTTCCCATATTCATCATCACAGGAAAGCCCTGTCAGTTGTTTAGCTTCAATAAAAACCTCTAATATACTGTGAACTGTGCTTCTGTGTGTTCTTTCAGTGACTTTTCCAGTCATAGTGGCATCCTGGGTTCAAGGTACAGTGTTGTTTTCTTCAGTTGTGCTTGAATTCATCCCAGATTTGTGTAAGGATCCAGATGTAACCGTATTAATCGCTTACAGTTTAAAAGTTGAAATAAGGCACTTGAGTCTGGACCATAAGACCAGCTTGCCTCCCATGGGATTTATAACTTCAGTTTCAAGCCCGCCCTGAATTAGATAAGGTTATTAAGCCAGCAGGAAGGAAAGGAGGGAGAGTGAATACAGCCAGATTTCCATTCCATTAGGTACTTAGGATCAGCTCTAAATCCTGCTATTGCTCACTTCTGGATAGCTGGACCTCCAAGTACAGGAGAAATCTTTCCTCTTACTATCAGGTCACCGCTAAGTGATACCAAACTTTGTACGTCTGCCAGATATGTGTTTATTTTAGATCCAAAAGACTATTGCCTTGTTTTTACATGTGCTTAATTCTACTCATGCATGTTATTTATTTGAAAAAAATTTAAAAGAATCAAGGAATTGGGTGAAAGGCATATTAAAATGTTTGGAAAACTGTGAAACATATGTACAAAAAATACAGTTATGTTGCAAGTAAGGGCAAATAGTGCATGGGCAAACCTCTGTTTATTTGGCACCTAGTTTTCACCCAAAACTTGAAATAACCTTTCTCAAAGTCTGAGAAATTCTGCTTTTGGTTCTAAAAGTTAAATATTTCTGCATTTCTTCCCTTTTTTTTTTTTTCAGAACTGGCCAAATTATAATTCAATATATGTAGAACATACAAATGATACTTGCAATCCAAATAGAAGCAGCAATTAGTAGCAAATGTATTTGGCAGCTGATACTTATGAGATTTTCAGTCTAGTTTTGTAGGAGATCAGGTAGCTTTCTAACAAAAGGAAAACAGCATACAAATATATGTGTCTTACCAGATTCTGTACCATACACATTCTTTCAGATCGTAACTCAGCTACAAGTCCATAGATATCCACAAAATCATGATCATTTATATGTTGGGTTAAATGGTCAAGTGCAATATAAACTCCTGTTCTTCCAACACCAGCACTGCAAACATAGCACAAAAATAAAGTTTGTATGTTCAGAAATATTCTCTCAGAACTCTCTGGTTGAAGTGGATTTATTGCAAAAAGGAAAACTTGGGAAAAATTGATGTCTTTTCCATGCGTTAGCTTCTGTGTTTGTTTGTTTGTTTTCCAATCCCCTTAGTGAATGGGATCAAGTGAAATCTGGATCTGTGCTGGGTTCTTATTTTGGTTTTATATCGGGCAATCAAATTAAATCAAACCTATGTAAGTGGAAACACTCTACAGCTTTTCTGTGAAAAGAAGAGAAAATCACAAGATATTGTGAAATTGAATCTAGATTCTGTGTTGCTTTTTGTATTAGAGACAAACCAACATAGTATCTCGCAAAATATTAAAAGAAAATACTTTTAAAAGGAGGACGGGTGTGTAGGACACACAGTAGCTGGAGTTTGTTTTATTTAAAGGTTTGGAAATGAACAGGACTTCTTAAATTTCTACCAGATTTTTAGGCAAGCAGTGAAGAAAAGGCAGATCATATAATTTCTGATAGCAAAATTCTCTTGATTCTGCAAGGTCTAATAAGAAGAATATAACAAATGAGTGTTCTGGATATGTGAACACACATTGCTGCTTTGCAGTCACCATGAATTTCAGTATGGGCAGAATAACTGGCCCATGCTGGTTCCTGGTTGTGGAAAGGGGATGACATTCATTTCAGAGAGGACTCCATACTGTATAACACACAAAGGCCATCTTTGTCTCCTACAGCAGTCTCTCTGGCCCCTGCAGTAGAGAAAAATGCCCGGTTGTCAATAATAATGTCAAATAAAATGAGAAGGTGGCTTCTCAGCATTGATGATGCCAGTAGGACACTGAGGACAAATAAAAGAGGCCTCAATAATAGCCTCACTGGACAGATTTAGGGAAGAGATTTGTGGCGCTAAACCCAGCTTTTCCTTCCACATATTTCCAGACTTGTACTGAGTGAGAATGAGGCAAAGAATCAGGGTCAGGTCTCAGATCATTATTTTGGATGCGCCCACTCAGTCAGTGGGAGCACCGACCTGCATATAAAACGTGGATACAGTCACCACCTTCCTGAAGATTTAGCCTTCCCCAAATGGCTACTCTTTGAAATAGCAATTTAAGGTTGTTGAGTATGACTATGACAGCTGAACACCTCTAACCAGCAGCTCATTTATTTAGGAGCCTAAATATAGATTTTAATTGTTTACCAGCATCCAAGTATGAAATCTGACATATGCAAGCCCCTATTTCATTTTGTCATTCTCTCTGGCTCCCAGTTTCTTCCTTGCACGAATATGTGACAAGTTCATTTTAAATAAAATTTTAAAGAGTATTTCTTAATTGTATTAGTAGTCATTAAAAATCAATAAATAGTTGTTGCTATTCCTCTGCTGACAATAAAGAGGAAATCTGAGACAAATTTAATGACCTCCTGGAGATCGCTGGGTTAAGTCTTTCACAGACATCCCCTCGATGGGATTTCCATGAGTCGATAAAACTCACTTCAGTATTTTACGTCCTAGAAAGGACTGTAGAGCACGGCTAGAGAACCCTACCCTGCTGCTCACGCTACGGCTATCCTGCGAGCATCCTGCGCTCTTGTTTGGCAGCTTCCCTGAGCACTGGCGTGCGCTTGAAATGATCAGATACTAAATAATGTTCTGGTGAATGTGTTTACCTGCAGTGAACCACCATCGGTGTGGTATCATGTGCTCGGCTGGCACGGATAAGTTTTACAAAATGGATAATTGGTGCAGTAGTTTCAGGGACCCCATGTTCCGGCCAGGAAGTAAAATTGCACTGCCGCACCATCATGCAGTCCCCGAGCAATTTAAGGTTGTTGAGTATGGGTTTTTTTTGTTGTTTTTTTTTGTTTTTTTTGTTTTTTTTTTTTGCACCAGAGCTATGAAAGAAGATGAAGAAATGAAAGCTTCGCAGCAATTTCACCTAAAAAAGAAGAACCTCAGAACAGCCTCACAACTATCATCAGATGTATCAAGGGATAATGTGTAATGCACACATTTTACAGCAGTTTTTTTGAGGGAGACGGCATCAAGTCTCTTTTGAGGATGTATTAATGACTTCAACAAGCAAGCACCCTATATTCAACTTTTGTCCCTATATCAGTGTCATCTGATATAGGGTGCAGGTTGAAGTTTCTATAGCTTGTCTAGAATTTTAACTGACTAGGTAGACATTTATTTAGGAGAAGGTTACTCGGCATTGGAATGGTTAAAACCATTAGAATGGTTATTCCAATTCTAATCTAGCATGGTCAAGATAGACACAAATATGTTGGCAAATAAAGATATTTTCTATGCATTCAATACCCACTTCATCAGAGCAGTAGCAACAGTAACTCAAAAAATTTTGTTCTAAATTAATTTCTAAGGACAAAAGAATAAAAGCACTGGGTCAGGCCAAAGGCCTGTCTTGCCTAATATCCTGTTTAAACAGCATCCAGGGAAAAGCATTTGGAAAATTTATAAAAACCGGACAACAAAGTAACAACATTTCAGCAAAATGTCATTTTAGTGCTTAACAGTCTGTTACTCATGAGATGATTCAGTCAGAGATGGCGTCTTAAAATTAAGACTGCTCCTGAGAATGTCCTTCTATTAATTTCTCCAGGTTTTCAAAGGTCTGTAAGGTTTGGGGTTTTTTTTTTTTTGCATCTGCATTTGCAATATCCTGCAGCAAGGTGCAGTTTATCTGCAGTTTAGTCAACTGCTGTATAATAAATCAGTTTTTCTTTTCTTTTTTTGCTCCTACTACCACTTACTTTTTTTAGAACCACTGAACACTGAAATGTGAACAATTATGCATAGTATTTTTGGTCTATATTATTAAATAACTGTAAGCAATTTGCCTCATACAGGCTTCCTTCTTACACAGGAAGATCATCAAGTACCCATCCATTTCTGAGTAGAAGAGGAAGCAGCAATATGGCACATTTGATGGCATAATTCCTGTAGATGTAGCGCTTGGACAATTCAGGTTATGTTTTGTTTTCCTTCTGGCCTCACATGATCCGCACATGTGATTTTGCTGGCACGTATTTTTAATCTAAAGAGTCCCTTTTACCAGCCGTGGTTACTCTGTGTCTTATGCTAACTGAAGAAAAGCAGTTTATCTTCTCTCACTGTCCCATTGACCTGCATTACGTGCACACCTTACTTATCCTCGTGGGCTGACAACTGAGAGAGTCACCTTTAGCCATGGGCACATGTCCCAGGCTGGTGCTGCATCTTTATGTGTGGGTGGTGGAGTTCAGGTCCTAGGACCTGGCCGCTCTGCGTACGGCACAGGTCAGTGCTGGGAGTGCAAAAGAAGACGGGCTCCATCTTGGGTCGTTATGTCCAGGATTCCCTTCCAAGTTACCAGCTAGAAGTCTGATTTTCGGTGGTTGCTACTTTTTCCAAAGGGTGGAAATTTTAGTTGTGGATCATGACAAAGATTATCACTCTATCCCCTGCCACCACCACCCTACCCAGCACAGTGAGTGGGCGTAATTCTGACGACTCTCATGTATACTGGGTGACACTCCTGGGGGTGGAGGCCAGTCCTGCTGGTGGTACAGTGCAAAACAGCTGCGCTACACCAGAGACTCTTGCCCTTTCATGTGAGAGGGATAGATTCAAAGGGATTTGTCTGATCCCAGAACGGTTAGGATTACTCCTTTCTAGAAGAGACAACTGAGGTGTCCAAATAGAAACTTTGCCTCCCACCAGACCAGAGGTTCAGTAACCTTGATAAGCCCTTCATAGCACATGGGCCACGTATCTGAGATCTTTGTGACACTGGAGAAAATTCTCACAAAAAGAGCAGCAATGAACACAAAACGCTCAGGAAAATGAGGTGGCACACACATATTCAGGATTACAGGAAGAATATTGAAGGTTAGGTAGATAGAATAGAGATCATCTCATGTCCTTCATGAGAAGGACTAAACACTGGAGGTGTTTTAGTCAACCAGCTTCCAAATCTGGCATACCCTTTCAATTTTCAGGTCTCTGATGGTCCAGTCCATTTGGGTATCTTCCATCAATTTAGTAATCACTATATCCCCAAATACAGTCACTGGTTTATTATCCTCTGGCCAATACTGATGACATCTTATCTGCAGGAAGATGAAGACTAATTAATAATGATCATCTACAAACCTGACAGAAACTACCCACACAATTATATCATACACCGTTCATTGGTGCACCAGTAACTTACCCGTCCTTTTTCAAAGCACTGCGTAAGCATCACTAGTGTTTTAGCTCTCGTCTCCCATACCATTCTCCAGAAATCACCCACTGTTCCTGGTAATGGTCCCTGAGTTGCGATAAACTCATTTGGACATAAATAGCCCTGAGAAGAAAAAGATATTAAATACATTGTGGTTGGAGAAGAAAAAGAGAGCTTGCACGTGACTGTCAGTACCCAAAGCCACCATGCCGGTGGATGAATCCCTGTCAGACAAACTAAATGGGCTGCTCATCACTGTGTGGCAGGTGCCACACTTCTTACATGGAAGTGTAAGAGAGTTATGGCATTTTTTTCCCACTGTGTAAAGCAGTCATGAACCAATGCTCTAACAATGTTTTGGACATACCATCCTAATAAAAGTGCCCTCTTTTAGCAGACGAATTGCATGGACATCATGGTCAGTAATTCTCATTAAAAATATCTAAGTCTTTGTGTTAGTCTTACAGCAGATCCACCATGAGACCACAGAGAACCATGTCAGGAAGAGGCCAATGCAACAGAATTATAACAGTGCTAAGGAGCAGTGGGGCCCAGAGAACTGAGGAGCGATGCAAGTGCTACTGCAAGCTACATATCACACTGGTGACCTGTCTTTTCTGTGATGTCCAGGGAGCTGCTGTAGATTAGGTATGGAACTTAGGCAAATAATACTCTGATAGAAGGTCCTTGAGACGCCTCCTAGAGTGATTTTTTTTTTTTTAGTGTTTCCTGCTTCTGTTTAATAATAATTATGTATTATAAATTGGTATAAAACTTGGAGAAAAGTGTTTTGTTGAAAAATTTGTAAATGCTGTCAGAAGACATGTTCTTTTGCATCTATGTTTTCTTAAGGAAACTAAAGGTACTTGATGGAATGCTAAGCACTACACAAGACTTAAAACAACAATAGCAACAATAAAAATGATTTTATGCTGTAGAGCCGGCAGTCTATGGTGTCACAAAATTCTGCTTGTTGCTCCAAAAACCTGCTAGTTTATAGCACCACCAAAGCTCCTTGCTGGAATTACAGCCCTATAATTCACAGCTGCCTGTTAGTGAACCTATAATATATAAAACAGGTGGCAGTGGGAAACTATGTTAATCCTAGTTTAAGAGTGAGGTGAGGAACTCTAATTTAGGGATGCAAGACTCACAGTTGAGTTACTCATACACACATTGTGTATTTACAGCTATATGCGTTTATATATTTAAAGGTCTGCAAAGACAACATTGAGAAGTCAAAGCTTCTCTGGGCTAAAGCCCAGAGAAATGATAACATTACAGCTGTCCACTCATTGATGAATGGTGACCAAAAGTGAGATGCCTATACGCACTGAAAACACACAAAATCTCAGCAGGAGATGTTCTGCAGCTGTGGCTCTTCCTATAGATTTTTTTTTTTTAAGTTGGTGTTAGTGCTCTAACACCTAAGCCTTGGCTTGGTGGTCAGCGAGAGGCAGGATAAAGTCCAGGCTATGCTCCAAGATATCCAGCCCCCTTCTCAGCAGCCCCGTGTATAGTCCCAGAGCCATTGACCTATGTGGCACGGCTATTCTTTTCAGCTACCAGGAAATTCTATACACAGGGAATAAGTAACGTTTGCTATCGGGAAAGGAAGATCCTGTTGAGGTAAAATACCCATTCTCAGCTCTGCTGCCAATTCCCTGTGAACAAGCATCTCAGTTACCTGAGAAATAACTATTTCTACTTGCCATTATGTCATCTATTTAAGTTACAGTCTGCATGTCTTGCTGAGTGTTTGTTCAGCACTGTAGTGATCTCAAGATCACTAGCCACTGCTACAATAAAATAAATGCATAATTTTAATGTAATATTTTATTTTAGGTAGTATTTTATTTTAATGTAATATTTAATGCAATATCAGTAATGTTTTGTGCTTCAGCGGGATAAAACCAAGATAGGCAAGACTACAGACAGAAAAAGGAAAGAATTTACTGAGAACACAATTAGAAAATGGAAGGTCTAGGAAGAAAGCCGAGACTGAGACACAGCATATTGGATGCTTCTTCAAGGAACACAATTACAGTTTTCTTCAGCACAATTTTCGTAAAACAGTAAGGGCATGCAAACTTCCTCTCTTCTAAATAGTTAGGTGTTGTTATGAAACTGTTCAATATCTTTACATTGTCCTTTTTCTATATAGTAGCTCCAACCTTCAAATCAAGACACAAAATAATGCCATTTGACCGCAGTGGAAGTTCCAAAGTTGTCTTTTATGATAACAGTGTGAGACTATTTTGTATTAAGTAATTTATTGGGCACAGTTTGATTATTACAGAAAATACTTGGCCAGCAATGAAAATGGGAGACTTTATATTTTTTCACTAGTCACATTCAATGCCACACAATCACCACCACACCACCACAGCAACAGCAATGAATGAATGAAAAATTAGAATCTCGTTCTTACTGAAAGTTCCTTTTTATTTTCCTTTTTTGACTCTCTCTTGCACAAGGAAATAAAAATAGTAAAAAGTGAGAGACTTTCTACTTACAGATACATAGCTGGCATTAATGTAGTCAGATCCAGGAATACCAGCATCGGGCATCAGCTTTACTCTGTTGTTGTTATCTAATATGGAATTAAAGTCTAGTTAACTAGAATGTTTGTTTAATTACAGGCACTGAAACAAATATCCCTGGAGTGCTAAGAATCCAAAAATAATGTTAATGTTGTTAATACACGATCACTTAATGCAATAGAACACTATTAGAAAGGTTACTTAATCAATGTCTATTACTGTACAGTCATCCTTTAATGTCCCAAGTATGTTTATATATATATATATATATATATAAAATTAAAATCGTAAATACCCCCACAACTCAAATCTGATGTGTATGGGAGGATTCTGTGACTAACAGCAAGCAGTTTTCTTTCAGGGATGCTGTTTTAGCAGAGGCACCTCCATATGAATCAGACAGCAGAATGAGGAGGCTGACAGTCTTTCCTATATACTTGAGGCCAAGATCATTGATTTGAGCCAGATTGTGGCACTTCTTTAAATTTTTTTTCTTTATATAAGGCACACTCATTATTACGGAAAAGTTTAGTTAAAAGAAGACTAGATAAAGAATGAGTGAGGGTTTCTGATCTGGGCCCATGGCGAGCATGTAGAAATTATGAAAAACAGGAAAGATGTCATAGATTAATAAGTGAATGCTGAAATCAAACATTCAAAAGTTGACGGTTGGTCTTCAACTTGATAAAAAAAAAGAATTCAAAGTTAAAGATTTACGAAACTCAACAGTCTATATTTTATTGTGTTCCATGAATATGATTCTTAGTGACTGTAATTTAGAATGTGTATTGAGCAAAGCAGTAGATAACAGAAGCAGCTGTTCTGAAAAGCTAACAGCACAGAATGTGGCATTATTAACCAAGGAATGCCATGCTCCCCATCTCACATCACAGCTAATGCTTAAAATAATAATGACATTTCTTGTCTTATTAACTGAAAAATGAAGCAGTGTTGCGTACAGAGAGACAGACTGCTGTCTCCTGTGATAAAATCTAGCCTTGGCTTATAAGTTATCATACACTCACTGTGATCTTCTATGAACCCTTGCAGCACATTTACACATATCCACAAGAAAGCATACCCAGGCTCCTGGGGTAGCTGAATGTACAAACATGTGGATTTTATATGTTTGAAAAATCTACTTCTCACTAAAGGGAGAAACAGGAAGAATGTTAAAGAGTTTGCAACATGGGTTGAATTACAAAGCCAAGAAACTAGTCAGGCTGTGGTTTCTTGCACCTGCATTTTAAAGCCTGTGAGAGCAAGTTGAAAGCTACTTTATTTGAAAGCTATTTGCTTCAAGACAAGAACATAAATGAAAACAAAAGCATAGAATGTTTGATAGAAATTCCAAATTTCATAATGTGGACATAATTGCATTAACTTATCAAAGACAGATCAAACAAGAATACAGTTGCATTGCAAATATATGCCGTACTATCATAGGGAGGGAGCAAATGGAGGAGTTTATCAGTAAACACACATACATGGCTTTATGTTTGGGAAACGATTCTTAGATCTGTTCCAAGGCAGATCAGCATCAGTTGAAGCAAGGTCTTCAAGAAACTTGGGAAGCTCCTGTAAAGGAATAATTGCTTGTTAGCAACCTTTTGCATTTTACCGGCATTAAATACCAAAAATGGATCAACAGCAGTTTCCCCTGAGACAAGCACCCCAGTGAGAGGAAGGCTCCTTTAGTTCTGCAGCACACGGCATTGCTAAGAACAACTGGAAACATTACAGAAGGATTTCACTGCACTGTCATCCCTGCTCACACCAGCACTCGCAGATGCAGCACTGCAGAAAATGCTGTCAGATTGAACAGTCAAAGCTTACAGGAACTTAAACCTTAAAAGACTGGGTAAAATCAGCCTATCTATCTTTTTTATTGTTTCATTTTTTTTCCTCTGTCTTTTCATGAAGTCTCATACTTGGTAGCCATGTCCTACTGCTCAGCCTTATTTCTGAATCTTGCCTTTTCCTAACTGCTGGAGCTTGGAAGTGAATCTTGCCTTTTCCTAACTCCTGGAGCTTGGGAGAGCTCTTGCCACAGCCTGAGAACTGATGAACGTTTAATCAAGACAACTGGCAATCAGTTACTGTCCACAGGACCATTTCTGAAAGGGGTGGGAGGAGTTATTTTTGGTTGGCCCACAGTTTCGTAATTGGTCATTAATTCTATTACTCAAGGACAGAGATGGGTAAGTCCTTCATATTAAGGAATTTATTTGATGGGGGTGTGTGCATCCATAAATATGTACAATTTGTCAAGCTGAGTAAAATAGTGAAAACAATTTCACTGCTTGTTGATGGAGGTAACTTTCAAGCTGAGTAAAATAGTGAAAACAATCACTGCTTGTTGATGGAGGTAACATTAATGTGATGATGGAGAAGTCAGAATTTAACCACTTTGTTCTGTTCCTGTTTTATCATGAACTAGGCTAATAATAATCGTCCTCGTTCGGCAGATGTTGCATGCAAGTTTCTTCCAGCTCTTACCTAAGATACAAATGAGATCTGTTTGTTGCTTTGCATCTGTATAAACAAAATACTCCTACTTCTTCTATATAATCCACTCACCTTTGTTTTTTATCTTACTGACCCATCTCTATGTGGATTACTTCTAAATGTAGAATCTCACCTTTGTTTTTTATCTTACTGACCAATCTCTATGTATGTGGATTACTTCTAAATGTAGAACAGATATCTTTATAGTTCAATGTTAATTATTTTTGAATACTCTTGGCCAAGTACTTGAGGCAGTTTCCTTTTGAGAAATAAAATTTAATGAGCAAATGAAAAAAAGGGAGGGGGACATGAATAATTGAGAAATAAAATTTAATGAGCAAATAATACGAAAAAAAGGGAGGGGGATATGAATAACGGAAAAAGCAAGAGTGTTTTTAATTCAGTGATCCTTCTTTTACTCTTAATTCAAGTATTTTGTCAGTTACATTTGATGAATTTCAATGTGCTTGTATGTTAAGAACACCATATTTTGAATAAAATCATGAACAAAATATAATGTAAAAACTAACATAATGAACTAAATAAATAGTCCATCTAGTCTGATATCCTATTCCCTAAAATGGCAAATGCCTGACATACAGATGAGATCTCAAAAACCATGAACTGTATCATGCACAATATTATCCTATGGGAAATATCTTTCTATTATCAGTTGTCAAAAACTCAAGCTCTGAAGCATGAGGACTACCTTGCTTTTATAATTACATCCTTGATAGTCTAGATGCAGGTGCTTCTCAACAGAAGAGCGAGATGGTTTCATGATGAAAGCAAAGCACTTTAAGTCAAGAGACCTGTATTCTTGTCTTCTCTCTGACATGTATTTCCTCTGGGAAATTCACAATTAGGTGAAGAATTGCAGAGAACAACTAGACAATCATCTCACTTTGAAAATTAACATGGTACTAGTTCCCATTCAACATTTCAAAATCTTGGTATTTGTGGCTTTCTAAGAACAAAAAGCCTATGATTTTACTCCCTTCTGAAAGGAAAATTTCAGAATGAAATCTTCTTATAAATAAACAGCTGACATTATTCAGTTTATATCAGTATGTTAAAGAACTAAACTGTATGGTCAACAGATATAAAGCAAATAGACTAAATAAAAGACTGTAACATATTGTAGAAAAATATTTTAAATATTTTAAAGTAACAATTTTAGAATTTTGTCTTTGAGTCAACTTCTTCTATACTCAAAGAATTTCTTTTCAAACCACTCCTCTCTCTCTCTCTCTCTCTCTTTTTTTTTTTTTCCTCAATAATCACTTAAAAAAGACCATAATCCTGTGACCGAAGCTAAAGAAATTTCTCTGACCTAGTCAGTGGGTAGACTGACTTCCATGAATTCCTGTCAGGATTCAACAAGAACAGTTAAACATAGCCAAGGCTGGAAAATTCCACTTTACTCAGAAAGCTGAATAAACTGTCAGAGAATTCAGATACTCTCACACAGAATTCCTGTCTTTGGATTTTGCAGGGAGGAAGAATTTTAATAAATGGTCTGTGGCATTTTGTATGTGCATAGGGTCATGGCAGCCCTTATCATATACATGACCTATGAACTTTAACTTGCATCATTTGCCTCATTCCTGTGAGTCTAAGCTTGCCAGTTAGTACACAAGCTGTACTGCTGTACAGCACTCTGCACTAAAGGGAAAATACAGAAGCAGATTTTGTTGTTCCAACTGTAATGATGCTCCTATATCTGAGTGAGTGCTTAAAGGTCTCTGTATCTGTGTGGATTTCAGTCTAAATGTAAATTTTCAGAATTGGGAAAAGAGTATTTCCATTCCCATATTCAAAAAAAAATTGTTGTGGAAACTGTACTTCTTTGCAGACTCCTAAACCTTTTAAATAATTCATGTGCATTTTATTTACTGAAGAATTTCACAGTACTTTGATGACATTTAAAAGTATTTCACTTTTTTATTTGTACTGATAAAATATGTTGTAAAACACTGATACAAGTATTTCTGTTTCAGACATTTACCAGTTACTAGGAAACTCGACTTCCCAAACTTATTAAGCAATAACCCTCTAGAAAACTGGAAGTTTGAGTAAACTAGGTGGTCCCCTATCATTATTGTGGCTCCCTAGTGTTTCTTTAGACAGTCTTTTCTGTTCAGCCATGGCTCTAGATCCATTCTCAGATCCAGAGTCTCTTCTTTTCATGTTGACACATGAGCATATTTTCACATGAGGACTGAAATCACACTCTGGAGAGTGTGATCTGTGCTAGCAAAACTCCCCAAACTGTGCTATTACTTATGAACAGCCTAGTGGAAATGATCCCTAGACTATTCTCCCTACCCAAGCCTACCTGGGAATTACTGAGGGAGAACCCTGGTAAAATAGTCCTGATTTGTGGCAGGGAACTTGGTAACAGTTTGTTAGCGTAAATAATCATATTCTTATGCCCAGTTCCTGGTATGCTTGAATTTACTAACATGGAAACAGCCAGATAGTCCAAGCTGGCTCAGCACCATACTGTTATATGCTTTACATATTGGTTTATGTGCTGAGCTCAACTTTCCTACACACAGCATAGGATCTTCAAGTCATTTATGCTAAACTAAACTAAAGCCCTGAATGTGGATGAAAATGATGCAGGTGATGAAGATTGTTGTACAGAAGTGCATTTTCAAGTCTATTATTCATCTCATACAGGTGCTACAGATGCTGTAGGTAGACTCTCAAACAGAGAAAAGTCCTACCCTGCAATTCTGCTTACTCTTGGACTAAACATCTGAGAAGACATCACTACACTCTGGAACTGCGAAACTGAAGTTCACAGAGGACATATAAAACTCTCGTTTTATGAACTGACTCGCTAATTTAACTAAATGATTTAGCTGATGAGATTTCACCTACTTTTATTTGTCTAGTTTGATAAAATGCTGAGGTTTTTTTTTAAGTTTTAAGGCATTACAATATTGTAATATTTATTGCAATGTGGGTCATATCTAAAAATGTAATAGCAGAAACTTTCCAGTGATGACCATTAATATGTGAAAATGTTACTGCTAGTAAAGCTTTTCATCTGTTCAGTCATGCATAATATAATTATAATGACTCTTGTTCAAGTGAAATGACCCACTCCTGGAAAAAAAACAGTTCTCTTTATTGCTCAAAGATTTTTATGGTGCTTTTTATTATTAAATCCAGACCAATTCTATTTAAAGAGCATAACCAAAAAGCTGTAGGAAATATCATTAATCTTTTCACACTTTTGTTGGTTTTCCCTTAGACACTGAAATATTATAACCTAGCAGAAGAAAAGGCAATTGTTGAGGTTTCATTTTTGCTAATCCAAATGCTAAGTAATTCATGGTAAATCTATAAATCCAAAATAATAATGTCAACAGAGACTGACAAATTATTTTTGTGAGAGCAAATGACTTTAAGTGTTAGAAATGATGATGATAAAGGTTCTGAAACAACAGTAAGAGCAGAGATTGTTGAGAAAAAAATGAAATACTTAAAAAGGTTACTTCATAAAAATAGTGAAAATTTTGATGTTTAAATTTGAAATTATATATGCTTTATACAAATGTCATGCATATTTTGAATGCCAGTGACTAGATAGATGCTATTCTCAAGGCTAAGATGGATATGACCTTTGTAAAGGAGTGAATCTACTCTGCATAAACTTTACACTGTCCCTACTGAAGAAAGTTAGAAAGAAACATAGGAAAAACACTCCTGAAGTCCATGGCAATACAACTGGGGCTTGATCATTTTGCAAATTAAATGCCAGCTGTGTTTTTGGAGTCTTCATCATCATTCAGGAAAATGAGCTTATTTAAAACAAATATATTTTGTAGACGTAGACAAAGAATTGCTAAATAAACTGTTCATAACTGAACTACATATGCATCACTATATATGTAAAAACATTTAAATACTATGCTGTTCTTGCAAAGATGAGTGTCTAGGGAAGATCACCTTTTGCTGACACTTAGGTGAATAATTCTCACCGAGTTGCACTTTAGACTGCACAATCCAAATCAGTGTAATATTACTTTCTAAACAATCAACCTGGTAATTGGGTATTGATTATCAAGGCCAGAATCCTTCACGGCCCTGCCTGCTTAAAATGGACATGAAATGCGACACATGAAACTTCTGAAGGTCTTGCGATGTTGTGACAACTGCTAGCAACATACCGAAAATTCTTCCTGAAACTTTAGGTTGTTGTTTGTGCAAAGCTCTTCAACATGCTGTAGGAAGGATTTCTTGCTTATTGGCCTGAAAGAAATGACAGAGGAATTAGAAACCTACAGGAGATTTTAAAATGTCATTGCTTTTAATTTTTATTTAACTGCAGTTCTTTATTAAACATCTACTTTCCAGTTAAATAGCAATAGATAATTATAGACGGAAAATAATAAATTGCATATTAAATTGCTTGATTGATTTTTGATCACATGGAAATAAAAGCATTTTCTCCCTCTGTTGTTCCTCCTTATCAAGTTTTTAAGTTGCTAGTTAGCACTACTACTGGGTAATATGGCCTTTTTTCAGATGACACCACTCCAATGCAACATTTCAATATTAATGGACGTTTTGTAAAGTTATCACTGCATTCTAAAGTGCATAATACTTCTCTGGCACACAGAAAACATTAATGCACTGCAAGGTTTTAGACATATAAAATATTGCAGTGACCTCATTCACATAATGACATGGTTTTTAAACCCCAAGGAGTTTAAATATCCCTGTATTACTTCCCAAGCTAAAACACAGACATGCAGGCTTCGCCCCAGAGAGAGAGAAAGCATTTCTCCAGTTACCATGCAATTAGTCATGCTTTTATGATTTATACACGGCTTGGAGTTTTTTCTAATAAACATAGAAGGAACCACACAATGAGACTCACCAATGACCACAATATAAAATTTTTTAATCAACTTACTTGATAGATTTTCTATAACTAAGTAACCTGCAACAGAGATTTTTGTTAAATGGAGCAAACTGTGAGTTAAGCATATAGTGCATTTTGATAGGTTTTATATAAAAAAAAATTAAGTTGGAATCAGATTTATTTCTTTAATGGATTCAGATATAATAGTACTTCAGATATCTTGTGTGTACTTCAGATATCTTGTGTAATTGTCTTGCTTGATTTTTAACTCATGGACTGAAGCAACAGTTTTATGATTCTCTTCAGATCATTTTACCATGTTCTGGACTCATACAAGCTGGGGAAATCCATACCCTCAGCACATCACTTAATGTACATCGACACACTTCATTATCGACATACTTCATTAAATATTATGTACTCTGTGTAATTCTTCTAAGGGCAATTGCAGAGAATCAGAACGGGTTTCAGCTGACTGAATGCTGATACCTATATCTGAACCAGGCCCTCTAGATTTCTTTTATAATCAATGAAGAGAAAGACATGATTTCATCCCATCTCAAGTAGTTATCTCAAATAAGTCACAGATGAATCATGCCACTAATGTGACTATTTGCACGCAGACAGCCTAGGATGGCTGGCTCAATTTCATGTACATGAAGCTGGGTGAGACAAATTTTGCTGTCAATGGTCATTCTAGGTAGTGTGGCTAAAGACTTGAGTACCAAATGACCCAGTATCCCAGGGCATCCGGCAATTCTGGAAAGCTCCAGAAACCTACCTAGCACATATGACTTGTAGTTGCTCAGGATGTTTTTAAAAGTAATGATGTTGGTGGTTTCTCAGAAGCCAAATAGCTATGGCTAGGATTTTAAAAATGAGTGCCTGTTTTTTTTCTTCATTTTTACATACTGCCCTAACTTCAGTTATGTTCCTGGTCCATAATGATTTCAAAAACTGTTACACATTAAATCTTTAACCTGATCCCCACAGCAGATTTCATGAGTATCTGCAACCTAAGATCCATTCATGGGGAGCTTTCAGATGGCCTTCGGACCTGGTCATCAACATCAGCTCTGAACCCTTTCCAGATGGCCTCGACATTACGGATTCAGAAAACCAATTTCAGGCCCTCAGTCTTACAGAGCTTGTCTAAAAGATCAAGACAAAAAGGTTGAAAAAATACATTTTAAAGAATAACTTGGCCTTTCAGAAAAGCTCTAAGTATTCCTTTTCTGTGCATCTTTTCACAATTATACTTTTACAAACATCACAGAATCTATTCTACAATACAAACATAAATCTCTACTACTTTTTTTTTTTTTTTTTTTGTGAAAAGACAATAAATTGCTTTAAAAATACCTGGTATTATGATGTTATTAATAAACATTTAAAATATAAAATAGAGAATAAAATGTGATCAATAGAATCTTTGAATAATTTATCATTAAGTAGCAGAGAATTCCAAAGCTACTAAAGATGCGTTTGTGGTACATAGTTTTTTAATGACAATTTTCTTTTAAATAACGTGAATTGACTATGAAAGACTTGGGTTAGTCTCACTAAAGTGAAAAGAAGTTTAAGAATTCACATAAGTTTCATAATCAAAATACTCGCTCGGACAACTGAAGAAGAGCTTTAGACTGAAAAAGAAAATAAGAAGGAAATAAAAAAAAACCAAAGCATGCAACTCTTTATTAAGGGAGAATATTTAGAAATATATCTAGTGCTTCTTGTATCACTTATGCTGCATTTCCTGGCAGACAAAACTACCTTCTAGTAACACTGGCAACTCTAAAGAGCTAAAGTTTTCTCAAGCAGAAAGTATTCTAATTAACTGTACTGAGAACAAATACGTTTGCCTTTGAGCAGGAAAATATTATTTTTTTCTAGGACTTTTTCAGGACAAAACTTTAACACTGCAAAGAAAAAAAAAAGAACTTGATTTTCCTTATAATTAGCCTATTCCATAACAATCAAATAAAAGTTATCTCTCATTTGACCTCCTAGTAATTTTGTGGATGCTGTTAGTTTTAATCCTCTGGAACTGAGAGCAATTAGGGGCTTACTGTACTGTAGTTCAGTCATTAGGGAATAAATATTACATCTACACTGAACATAAGCATCCTGAATATGCCATATAGTGCTTCAGAGCTAAAGGTACATGGATCCAACAGAAAAGAACTGAGAAACGAGCAGCACCATTAGTGCAAGCTTAATATTTCAAATTTACTTTTGTTCAAAGCAGAGATGTGAAGCATTGAAAAATCATCGAAAATGAACCAGGCAGCCCTACATATGGTGCTTTCAAGTGCATTCTTAATGTTATTAACAGGTGACTTCTTTGTATAACATATGTTTTATGTCATATGTTACATTTCATAATCACCGAACACCTTTAAAGAAATAAAGCACCTAGATTTTGACACTTCCATCTAGACACGGGTAGCTAAATGAAAAACTTGATTGATAGACGTACTGAATTCTCACACTTCTGTTAGTGGCAAGTGCATACTACAGTGGCTTGGCAGCTTAGAAAATAAGAATTTAATCTAAATGTTAACATGTGAGTTGATGTCTAACTCAAAGACCGTGGCAAAGATGTTGGCTTTCTTGTGTAAGAATCTTTAGAAGGACTGAACTGTGTATTCACAACTGGCTTAAGAATGACAGCTATGCTCAGTGCCAGCAACAGGGTTCAAAATGAGCGTATTTTTCTCAATATCTTGCAAAAGAGACATGTGGCAATAATTTTATTTGATTTCATTAATGAACAAACGCTGATAATTTTGTTCTCCACATTTGCCAATCTTTTGCATAAAACATAAAGATACAGATATCACTATATCTTGATCAACATAATTTAAAAGCAAACTATGAAGTTGCAAATTTCCCTATTTTAACTGCACAATTCAAGATTCTCATTTACTCTGACTTTGAAACCAGGAAAGAAAACATTCTCTAAGATAAAGAGAATGTCCCTTTATTGCTTTAAATCTGATTTGCTTTTTAAACAGTGTATTGTTTCATGTATGGGATTTTTTGAAGTCTATCAAAAATCTGAATTCCACTCAGATTACTTATGATAGAGCTAGAAAGAAGCCATTTATTTGTGTTGGCAGTGGTAACTGAAGACCATATTGTCACACAGACTCAGCTTTCTCTCTGGGTCAATCATCTGAAATCCACAGGGAATTAAACCTTCTTCCAAATGGAAAGCAACAGAAATGAGTATGTAGGCAAAAGGCTTAGCTCATAATCACCATTGACACTTCCTAGGAACAAGGGAGGAACTAATTTTTGCAAGTTAATTGAAAGCAATACGGAGCTTAACCCTTCCTGAATGTTCAAGGGCTATGGAAAGAGAACACGTGCTTATTTCTTCCATTCTACCAGGACACATACAGTCTTAAGCCTTGTTCTCTTGGGATTCAAAGCTCAGGGAGTCTATTAGTGATAAATGATTACAGAAGGGAAATTTACTGAAGAAAAGGGTAAGGCAAGAGCTGTGTAGGCTGGCCCAGGAAAAGTAATGTGTATGCAGAAGAGTTGTCTCCTGTCCCAGACACTGAATGAAGAATACATAGGAAGGGTGAGACCAGAGAATGGTTTTATATAAAATACTTTTTCTATGAGATATCTGAATGCCTTGTACTTGCAAGGATTACAGGGTCTGTAATTAACAAATATCGCCTTTAAATCTGCATTCTTCACCTGCCTGACAAACTGTCTTAAAGTGAATGAAACAAAAACCTCAGAGTATCCACTACAAGCTACAACCTCAGAAGGAAAGTTTTAAGAAACAGGGATCTAGATGGCCTTCTCCTTGCAGCAGAAACCACTGTGAAAATAGCATGTCAGGTGAGATCCCTGTCAAGTAAACACCTGGAACATGGAAGAGCGATTTGTCAATAACCATGTAGGCCCTGGAAACTTATTTACAGAATCCATGTAGAACAGGTAAGTGTCTGTCTTGATCACTGGACCGGTGAACACTGTGGGCAAGTTACAAAAAATAAGTGATGACAGGCCCCAGTATATGTATTAATTAGTGTGGTTAGTGAACTGATGGTTAATCTAATCAAGACTGGTAGGTTGTAGGTTCAAAACAAAGTTTTCTTTTGGTATTATTACCTGCGTTGTATCATGACCGTCACCATGGACACCAATTTCCTAAATATCAGATTCAAAATTCTCATTTTCCACTGAATTTGGTAGAACATAATTCCCTGCATAACTTCTGAAGTTAAGTCTCAAAATTATTTACTTCACAAAAGCTTTCTGGGAGACAGCACATATGTGTCTGTCAGCATTAGTCATTTTCAGAGATGGACTTTTTCAAATATTTTTTTTTCCTAATGATCATTCTTTCACAAATTATTTCAGGGTCTGTGATTTCCCATTCCCAATTTTAAAAAATATTGCCTTAAAAAAGTTTCAAAATTGGAAAAATGGGGTAAAAGGATATATAACATACCAGCTGAGAAAATGGCAAAACGTTTGGCTTCCAAAGCATCTCCTTCAAAAAGCTCTTAACTGGATGACTAGTAGATGCAGAAAATATCTATACTGGTCTTTTATTGCAACAGATTGCAACACAATTGCAACACAAACTCTCCATCACTCCTTCCTTCCTCAAGTCCCAATCAAAAATGATCAACAAGATAGCCCGGAAAAGGAATATCCCCATCTATTTTTTTTTTCTGATAACTTGTGAGATACAATGAATTGAAACCTTCTGCACCCTAGAAAGTTTTTCAGACATTGCTGACAGGTGATCAAATGCAGTCAGCTCATGAACAATAAGAAAAAAACAGGAGCTGAATCTCATTGACTTCTGGATAGCTATGCCCGAAATGCAACAGGTACAAAGTTCTCTCTGGAAGCCTTCAAACGAATAGCAAAAACATTTTAGACACTGGGGTTTGCACTACACTTTCCTGACATATACTGCCATGCTTCTACCATCTTCTTGATACAATTCCTCACCATCAGGAAGGATTTATTTATATGAAAGGCAGCGTTAGAGTTACTTAAAATCTCTCTCTTGGCAAAAAGCTACTGATATTACAGACATAATGTTGCACATACTGGCACATTCTTTAAAACTTAAAAAGAAATCATAATAAACTCAAGAGCAAGGACATCTTGTCCTTTCACTATTATGCCTAAGTTATCTAGATGTTGATCAATTTTTAATAGAAAAATGGCATAAGTCCTCTCCTGAGGAGCTCTCATTTAGTGCCTGGACTTCAAACTTTCAAATTTGTCATAACGCCAGCAACAGAGTTGAGCAAGGACCCTACAGTAGCACCAGAGCAACTATTGTATGAAAAAAATAACCTCAAATTTAGCAGCAGTGTCCTACAACTTATGAGAATGGCTTAAGATCAGAGACTTGGCTAGTAATTCTAACAAATGGAAAAACAGAGAAAGACAGGTAGAAGGGCACGGTAAACTGCAAGCCAAATACGTGAAACAGATTTTCTAAAATAAGAGGTGATGTAACTAAATCTCCTGAAGCACTGTTCAGTAAAGGCCTTGCTGTGCATAAAGCACATAACAAAGTGCACATAAGTATGAAATATTACAGTTTGTAATTACCTTGTAAAGTTTGAGACTGTACAAATCCAAACTGCATGTGATATAAAAAGTGGCAAAATGGTACTTTTCAAACTGATACAGGATTTGGCCAGCAGGGTCTGTTGCTGAGTTAGTAATGGCATAAGTACAAAGCAGTTGTAGTACAAAAGGCAATTGAGAAAAACAAGAACTTCTCTTGAGTGCATAAAACTCCCAAAAGAAAGTATACTGCATGTTTCTTATGTCTCATTCATATTACATTTGCTTCAGGATGGAACATATATACTAGTGTTATACCAGAACTTGTTATAATTTCCATGCAAAAATTGTGCTAATTTATTTTAAAACAATTGTTGAACTGTTGTACCTTAACAGTAGGGACTTAAGCAGGATTCATGATGACAAACACCACTGTTTGTCATCAGCATAGCTGCAAAGATTGATATTTCATTTTGATTAACTATATCAGTCAATACAGCATGGTAGCACACAGGTTAAGAGAGCAGAATGGAAAACATGCCATGTTGCTTCAATAATACAAAAACTTACTGGATGACAAATATCTCCTTGCGTCTAAAGAAAAATGAAGAGTATCTGGAAGTAAAACCCATTAACACTTTAGTATATAAACAGTACTAGTCTTACTCAGCTAACAGTATGGAAACAATGCCATTTTGAAGATCCATCAAGATCATTTATGAGAATTACAGTTATCATCATGCAATGGCATGGTTCTGCCTCCAGAGCACATATTCCATTATTATTATTAGCAGGAGCTAAACAACCTTATCTGAATGACAGGTGACCCACACAGAACATACCACATCCATTATGTCAATTATTTCCAGATGATTCATAGTATGTTTTCTCATCTGTTACCAGCAGCCATTCCTATGTGCACTATTTTGAACAGGTTTATACATACATTCAGCTTGCTCTGTGCCACACACATAGACATACACACACTCAAACCAAACAGGTCAACAGCTACAACCTTTCATCTTCCAGCTATTCCTAGTCTGTAACAGTAGGATGCCTGACTACTAGGACAGGACTATTTTAGGCTTCTCATCTTTAAGGAGGTTGCCTACCACAGTGTTTCATCTGTGACACAGCAGGGAAAATAGAGGTAGGTAAAGAATGTTCATCCAACATTTCTAACTCTGCTGGATGTCATATATTGTTTAGAATCATCATTATATTTATCTAGTGAATAACATCCATATTTATGGCAGTCAGAAAGAACAGGCTGTCCAATAAATATCTGTGACAAGATTCTCTGTCACACAGAAAATATGAATAGCCTGCACTTGTGCCATTTCAAGGTGCAGATGTCAAGACAGCCAGTGAGCTCAGCTCCGCAGATGCCCAGCTGCTATGCAAATTCCTTTGTGAAAAAAGGACTTTCTAAATGTCAATTAAACAATGATAGATTTGTGTTTGAATCAGCTAATCACAGTTTGAATCGGCACTTCCGAGGTGTATGACTTTTTCAAAATACTCACATAGCTTTGCAGTCTATGCAAAAAAAAGTATTAAAAACACTCAGAAAGTCAGCATTTTTATTAAAAAAAAAGTAGCCCTTTTTCTCCACCACAATTAAACTGTGATTTGCACTTAGATCTTTATCTTGTTGTAAAAAGAGCTGAAGATTAAGTGATTTTCTAAAAGCTAGTGAGAAGTGTCTTGAGGATGGAGGTCAGTCTTTGAAAGAGGATCTCAGTGACCTGTGTAAATAAGAACACCACAAACACTTCCAAACAAGCATAGGTCAGAAACGGGTCATGGCTACAGCCCCTTTGGACTACTGTTTTGCCTAAGGAGTATGCTTACCGTGTAAATCTCTCATCCTTCAGCTCCAGGTCTGCCACTGTGATCAACTGATCCAGTTTGAACTTAGTGTCAATAATTTCAGCATCTCTTGGGGAGTAGGTACCCCCTTCTTTTTGCTTTTGCCGAATCCTAATGAGAAAATTATAGACAAAAATAAATATGTAAAAGATTTATTATGGACACACATATAATTTGATTACACAGGTCAAAACTGAAAAATGGTTGCCAAAAATCCTTGTCTGGCCTTTATTCTAATCCCACTTCAAACGGTGTAATTTAATCAAATCCACTAGTTGAATTGTCTAAAAGTCTTATGAAAAGAATCTAGTTTCTATATTCTTTTGATTTTCCTATATAAATTGTTTGGCAATGCCTTAATAATCTAGCTGAAGAGAACTTTTGGTGAATGAGCAAACTGACATCATTATGAAATTTATCATTGACTAAAATCATCATGCACGTCCTGCAATATGTAGCCTGCATCTGGAAATGGGAATTTGTTCGCAATTTGAATTAGAAGCCAATTTGTCTTTCACTTATAAGACTGCAGTGTATTCACTTGCTAACTTAGTACTATGAGAGAAAACAGAATTTAGGGTTTTGACTTCCTATCAAGCTATCTGTTCCCCACAGAGGAGACAGCAGATAGGCTTAGGCACCCAGCTAACTTTAGCCAACCGAAACTGCTCTGTATGGAGCCAATGGAGAAGCCAATGGAGAAGTGACACTGAAAGGCTGAGACAGGTTTCAGTTCTGATTCATCTTCTGGAGAAGCTTGTATTTGTTGTTGATCTATGGAAATTAGTCTCACTAAAGATAGCCTTTCTAAGTCCATCCCTAAGTTTCCACATTAAAAGAAGGGCAATGGATTTTGATATGATAGACTGGTTCCATTTATAAAGCTGCTTCATCTCTTCATTAATACATTTTCGAGTGTTTGCAAGGAAGGGATGGCAAGGATATGCAATCTTACCGTGCAAAAGCATAGACTGCAGCCACCAGGAGAACAATTGATAATATACACAAAGTGACTGCAAGTATAACTTCCACAGCCCTTTCTGACAGTCCTTCACCTGCAACAGAAAGCGGGTAAGACTAGGCCCAGAAATTTAATATCTAATAGCTTCATTGTCATGTTTACATCTCTAAATCAGGTAGAGAAGAGATAGACAGTATCCTATCAATACAACTGTATTATACGAGCAGAAGAGCTGCTCAAAAAGAAAATCATGACAAAAACAGGAAAAACTTATTTAAAGTTTCCTACGCATTTTATCTATCTAATTCATAATGCTAATTATATATATATATATGTAAGATATCTAAGTCTATAGGTGCAGCTGTTCTGGTTTTGATGATGATGATGCTTTTCTGGCTTTTCTATGCTAAGGTTTACACAGTAAACCTACTGCAACATCAGTCTGATACTATATAAAAGTAGCCTGATCTGAGCTCCTGCTCAGCGTCAGTACAGCCCACCAAGAATAGACAAGTGCTCCAACAGATAGGAATAATCCAGGTAGAAAAAAAGGTAGAGTCACAACTGAAATACTGTTTCAGTGCACAGGTTCACAGTCCTCATTCACACAAAAACAAAAGATGCTATCATGACTGCAGATCTTCTCAAGGGGCTGGAGAAACCCAAAATGACCTGCTCTAAATTGCCTAGGTTAATCTGCCTCTTGCATCACTGCTAACTCATGCCCTTTATTCAAGTGGGAATTGGTGATTTTGTCAAGAATAACCACTAACAGGTCAAAGGTTATCATTAAAGCTTTTATGATCAAAGTTGTAGGGGCTAGGATCAGCCTTTATGGCTGATCAAGGAGCACCAAGGCTCATTTTGAGACAGATAATCCATTTAGATTAGTAGTTCTAGATCTCTTTTCCAACAAAGTGCTGTATTTTAAGACTCATTTGATTTTCTATCCCTCCTGGCAATCCTGTCCAAAAATCTCATTAAAAAAAAAATCTCCAAAATCTACTGCTGCTTTCTTCACCTACGCTCATAATCTTCATCTACACCTTTTGATCTAGTGTAGAAAACTTAGTCTCTGTCTGGCCTCCAGAGAGGACAGTAAAAATGTTCTGCTTTCCTGCCATATGAAACTGAGATTTCACCATTCAAAGGACAAAATCCTCTCAAGGGCACTATGGCAAATAGAGATGTCTTGGCTTCAGTTCTCTCAAAAGGAGAGAATTTTTGAATCAGAGAGTATGCTGCGTGTGATATGGACTCTATGTACATCCGGGGACATGGTGCCAACTCAAAATGATCCTGACTTGGCTAAATAAATGGTCTTAAAACAATACATTTTTTAAGATGAGATGCTTATTTCTACAGGTAAGCAAGAATAATCAGCTACACAAACATATGCTAGTGGACAGTATGTTAGATAGACAACAATTTATCACAAGAAGGTGTCAGATTATTGCAGACCTCAAGCAATATAAACAAACAATATGATGTATGAAATGACGAGCATAATCTTGGGATACAAAGAATTAAACATAGTTTCCAAAACACCTGAAATAATTCTTCCACTCTGCTCAGCAACATAAAGCCTCAGATGTCACACTGGATGCTGCAATGTAAGAACAATTTAGGCTGGAGGAAGAAAACAGAGAAGAAAAGCAGGTATTTAAAATGCTGTTGCAAAAGGCAAAGGAATGAAAAGTTCCCTGCTACTCACTGGTATCTGTGGTAATGTACAAGTGTTAATCATGTGTAAAAATAATAAGAAAATTTCAGAGGAACCTCTACAAAAGTTTTGTCTGTATTGCATTAAACAGTAAAGTGAACGTTAAATCCTACAATTAAGAACAGTCCAAACATTACCAATGTTATCAAATAAATCAGGGCTTGCAGAGTACTCCAAGACCCACCAAGAATAAAGAAATATTTTTTCTCCTACTTAGCAATTGGCAGCTATTACATTTCTGTCTCGATGATCAAGGGCAAGGGCAAGGGCAAGGAGACAAAACAGAGGAATTAGCATACAGAGCAGGAAAGAAAATAGGTACTGTAAAATCACCATGTGGTCCTGACATCATGCTGCGTAATTCTGAGAAGCTGCAACCTGATACGTGATAATAACAAATTGTAATAATACAATATCATAAGTTAGACATGTACGCATAAGACAGTATCTTATGGATACCTCATTTTCAAGTTTTCTATCTGAGAGACTTTGCATTCCACATGAAGAAAGACCACACACAAACTGTACTGCTAGTTTCCTCCCAATGACTTGCTTAACTAGCTATCAGAGTTTATGACAAAGATTACAAGCTGTCTTGTATGTAGTACAATTTTAAACTGTGTTGCTACCACATCTTAATAATGTCATGGAAAAATTCTGACCTTTCTTTGTAGTACAGACATTATTTTTGCAAGGTCATTTATGAGGTATAAGGAAAAATCCTGCTCCTCCAGTTTAAGAGGGTAGTGTGGTACTCAAAGAATGGCTGAGTGGGTAGGCCATATTAAAAGATACTCTTTACTATATTTAAAAAATCATTATTGAAGTTGCCTATGTTATTGAGAATCTTCTGAGCTGTTCCTCCCCAGCAAAATTCCTATTGCTTAACAAGAGCATCAGATGTTCAAATGGCTGCCGATTACAGAGAACTTGCTTACAGGTATTCCACACATTTTCTGTTTCAAACATATTTAACACAGTTTTAAACTGAACAGAGACAAGATAAGCTTCCTGATTTTCCAGATCAAGGAAATCTGGAAATCTACCTATGCTACAGTTAGACTATGAAACAAAAATAACATCTGGAAGTTCTTTGAACTCTCATGAGCAGTTCTGACAAAATTCAAATGAATGCTTTATTTACCAAAATGAAAATGTCATATTGAATAAACACAAATTTAGATGATAATTACAAAAGAGATTATTGAATTAAAATAAAGTTGTAATTCTGATTTCAGGCAGCACAAATTTCTCCTAAAAAGATGCCGTTCCAACAACAGGAACCACTGGTCACAGAGATATCAAACAGCTACTGATCTTTCCAGTTATCCTTCCTAGGCTGTACTTCTAGTGCAAGTTCAAAGTGCATATAATCCAAGCATGACCTGTAAAGGAACCACTTGGATAAGCTTCCTCAAGTTATGTGCTTCAACAGAAAATGTTTTTTAAAGAACCTAACTTTCTTCATCTGCCTAACATGGTATCGATAATGGCCCCTCAGCTGTGTCACTAGAGGCCACTAGTAACAACTTGCATCACTAGTGATGTATAAGATAATAATTTCACAACAGTATTGCAAAAAAGGCATAGAATGAACTTTTAATTACTTGTCCCATGTGTATTTTTTTTCTTGTTGGATAGACTCAGAAATTTAAAAGTTAAGGCCAAATAAGAGCTTGCTGAACAGCCCATTTTAAAAGCAGTCCTTTACATTAAACATTAGCACAGAAGGCTATGAAATCAGTAAGGGAATCGGAATCACAGGATATCTGAGGAATTTATCATGGTTATTTTCCTCCAGTTATATTTTGTTCAGCAACAGGCAGATCTTGCTTTTTTTGTGATCTGTACTAGAAGACAACGTGTCGCAAATTTTCCATAACAGTACAGAAGTGTATGAATTATAGTATCTGCTGGTGACAAATTTCTTTTTCTGTTGTTTTGGTGAAGTGCACAGACAACTGGATAAAGTCAGAGTCATTTCAGGTATAGTTATTTTGCCTGATGCAGTCTTTTCATTAATGGTCAAACTATTTGTTCATTGCTTTAGAATACCAAACTCTTAAAGACAGCCCTGTATCGCTTTTTTTCCAAAACATTTGGGAGTGTCAAGTGAAGAATACATGTTCATGAAAAGTCTTCTGCGTACTCACACAGTTTTCTTGAGCCCCTTTTCAAAAAGTCAGGGCTAACTATTTTGTTTTGGCTTACCAATATATTTAAAGAATTTACAGATTTTGTTGTTATCTGCTTAGAGAATCTCCATTCCCACTTTTAGGAGTGGATCAACACTGTAATGGAAAAACTTATTCTGAGTTTGAAATCCCCGGAACACCTGCCCTGCTGGCCAATAACATTAGAACCAGCTGGGTTCTATTAGACAATATTAACTTAAAATGAACATTGTCTGTAACTAAAGGATGAAATGCTTTTGTGTTTGTGTGAATCGGAAGGGTCATGTCCTCAGATGAGCTGCCAGGAGAAGGAATGAGCTGTGACTGAGAGGCTTCCAACATGAGGCTCACTGGGATAACCAGTACATCCAACAGAGAGGGAAACTGCAACTAGTATAACTATCACCCAGTTAAGGTGAGCTATCCTGGCAAAATGGTGTTTTCGCTGGTGTAGCTGGATCTCTGCTAATCAATGTTGTCAATACTGTGCTCTCCTTTAATAATTCCAGCTGACATAATTCTCCTTGACATTCTCTAGCTAAAGGACACAAAGAAGAATGTATGGATTATCTCACCAGGCACCAACTCTCACTAGGCACCAACCTTCTGCTTAAACTAGTTCAACAAAACCAGATATTATTCATTTCAAGGAAACCAGTCCTAAAAAAGGAAAATATAACTGAACAGATTCCTTGGAAACAGAGAAATATTTTGACATATGACACTCGCCTTACCTAAGGTTTTAACAGGGTCAGAATAATCAGAATCTGTAAACTGCCCTTTAACATTGGTTGCTCTGAACTTAAATCTGTAAGATAAAAACAAGAAAAATAATGAAACCAAAGTTTATGTGTATTAGGTCATTTAGAACTAGACACTATTTTTCAATTTTAGCAGAATATAGAATTTTTGTCCACCTACAAAACTGACATTATGGCTGACACCAAGGACTTAGTGTCACTATGTTAAATGTATAATCAAACTCTATAAAATGTGTTACTTTTCTTGAATCTGGACTTGTTTCATTTAGAGAAAAAAGATTTTTTTGTTACTTGAATCACTTTAAAAATGTATGGTCTCCTTGATTTATATTTTGGCAAAAAAAAAAAATAAGAAATGCAAACATTACTTCAAACTCCATCTTTTCTTAATTGAATTACACTTCTTATCTGTTTGCATAAATACATATTTCACTTAGATCTTTATTTTGGGCAAACACAGGGACAAATAATGGACTCACAGGTACTGTTTTCTTGGTTTCAGTGGGCCATTGCATATTTTGTCTTGACTGCCTGGTATCATACACGTAGTATCAGCACCTATGACATATATCTCTTCTTTACCACTCAGAACTTCCTTTCCTTCTACACAGGGTGGGTTCGGAAAACCTTCATTTGTAAAATATGGTCTTGGTCTGTTGAAGTAGGCATCATACCACTTAGTAACATTTCCATCATGCTGAGCTATTGTCAAGAAAAGAAACAATCAGAAATAACTTACATCCTAAGCGGGCTGTAATTAAAGAAGTTGAATAGATAATTAATTTTTTGAAGGGCTTAGCAAGCATGAAGTGCCATTCACGCAACTAAGGCTATATTTGTATTTATATTGAAGCTCAAATTTCCTCATTATTCACACTACCTATATTTTGCTAGCTCAGAGGAAAATTCTGATATAGTCTCTCTCAAACACGAACTCTGTAGAGAATAACACTTGGGCAAGGTACTTGGCTGTGAAACTGAGTGTGGCTAGCAAAGACAGCAGAAAGAGTTTATCTAAAGACAGTAAAAATCACTTTATAAACCAAATGAGAAGGTTTTCAGAAGTGGTTGCAACCCAGCAGCTCTGATGCTCTATTAAGAAAGACAAGGGATTAAACAACCTGGAATTTGTATTTTTTTAGGTAAAGTAAGCCTGACTATATGATTGTGAAATTCCAAACAACATTGGTAGGTAATTACTCAAGGCAGTACTGTGACACTATTCTTATGAGGAAATGTTCATCAGACCTTAAAAGGGAATACACATTTCAACCCACAGTGTACAGAAGGGATTTATATAAATCCCTCTGCTCTATTATGAAATGGAAATAACAACTGCACAACTGCATTCTTTTACAGACAACACTAGCAGCAACAGAAGAAAAACCCTGCAAAAAGTTTTATGAGATAAAAAATTACATTAATTACATTCCACAAATGCCAAACATACACACTTTTTCAAGGAAATAAGAAATAAAGAAAATATAATGATAGCAACAGGGCCAGAATATTAATGATGGCTTCAAACAACATGGATAATTTTGTTGGCAAGTGTTTCCAGAATCCAATACCCAGTCCACACACACTGTGGAAGCAGATACTTCTTAGCAGTGTCGCCATAGGCTAAAGCAATTTTTGTTTGCCATTTTCTGACATGAATTTTCTGACACCCAATACATTTTATAAAAAGAAAAAGATGAGCCAACTGAAAACAATAAAAATTTAAAAAACATTATAATTTTTAAAGAAAACATAGAAAATTCTTCTACCTCCAGCTTCCGCAACAAGAACTTGTATCTTCTTGATAGGACCATGATCATCACTATAATAACATATTGGCATTCTGATAGTAATCGTTGTAGCTGTGACAAGTAAGGCCCCATTGGTATCATAAACTGGTGCTGGTTTCTTACTAGGCCGCGGTGGTTCTGTTTTTAAAAAAGATATACCACAGTTTTGTCTTAATATTTTTTTTCATCATAAGCACTTAGTTCAGGCATATAGCTATATTATGCAAGACAAAACCTTATAGTATCATTCAAAGATGAATATCAGAGATATGCAACAAAAATGAGCACTGCTGTTCGAGGTTATTAGTTATATGCTCCCATACGTATGTTACGCAGCCTCCAAAGAAAGGAAAAAGGGAAACGGATATGTGCTTACAGGTAGAACAGCATTTTCTTCAGTATTTATAGAGATCTAAGCCAAAGAGCACTTTATGAGACATACCTTTGATGTCCATGGTTATTTTCAATTGAATTTTTGGCCCTGCACCAGCACCATTGTATGCATACACCTTAAAAAAAAAAAAAAACAAAAAACAAAAAACAGAGCATTAGCTTTAGTAGCTTCAGATTAGCAAAATCTAGATATATTTGAAGGTACAGTGCATGCTGACACTCTCCTTTTATGTCATTGACACTTTTCTAAAGAACTGGACCCTTCATCTGAACCCAGCGTGCAATGCAAGCTCCAGAACCAAGACACAGATACAATTTTGCGCCTGTGATGACGTGATTTACCAGCACTTAAACTGGTCAGCCATCTTACACAGTAGCACTGGTGATGGCTCCTGTTCCCTCCAGCATCTTCATTGTTTCCTTCCTTCCTCAGACTTCTCACTCTTCACACCCTAGCTAACATTCTTGGCACGAAAATCTCGTATTTGGTCTAGGTCTGCATTCCCTGTTCAAATTAGTCTCTCACTGATATCAAATAAAAAATCAAAAGTATCAATTCTTACGCTGACATTATATGTATTTCCTCCTTTCAGCCCTTCTATCACAGCAGTGACCGACTGATCTGTTTTATCAATGACACTAAGATTGTGAATCTGGATGGCAGCGGGGTTGTCTTCGTTGTAGACCATAGCTTGATATACTTGAATATTCCCATTTGGTTCTGATGGCGGCACAAATGTTACTTGGAATTTTGTTACTTCATCTGGAATCTTCTGAAATGTTATGTTGTTAGGAGGGTCTTCTGGCACTAAAACAAACATTTTAATGATTCACTTATGTAACAGATTGCTACTATTACATTGAAGTAAAACCTGAAAGATTAGAAAATATTATTTATATATATTATATTATACTGTAATATTTTACACATATTTGGATATGAGTATTAAATCATGTTTTTTAATTTTTACTAAATCAGTGCTCCAAATATTTATTGCTTATGTAAACATTTGTAAAAGCAATAAAAAGCAAAATATACTTAGTGCTATATATAGCAAAATATACTTATACTTGCTTATACTAAGCAAAATATACACTATATACTTAGCGTATATTAGTGAAATACACATTATTATTGATGGTAGCATTTAATGCCACAAATATTAAAAATAATTATAAGAAATGTGTCTACCACCTTATAATGACTCTCAGTAGTTTCTAGTCAGGAACATTTCTTCTGAGTATTTATCCAAAAAGTTTCAAGGCATCAGTTTGCCTTGAAATACATCCTGAAATAAACAAATCCTTGCATGGGCTTGCAAGCAAGAGGCAAGTTTCTGAACCTCTTCTGAAAACTCTCTGCCAGCGCAAGGCTCTCTTCCAACATATGACCAAGCCACCATGCTTCTAAGAATCTCTGTTTATCACAACTAATTCTTCAAGGAAAGACGACTTTCCATCAGTTGATGCTCAGACATAGGTCAAACGGGGGGTGTTTCAGATCCTGTCTAGAAACTTATCAGAGCTGAGAAATAGATAATCACAAGATACACTTTTCCCAAAGTCAGCCTTTTGCCAAACATTTATTCCAGTAGTTCAGCAAAAGTAGTTCAGCAAAAGTCCAGCAAAAGTATATTCTCCCAAAGTCTTTGTCTGAAAGAAGAGACTGTCACTTTCTTTCCAAGCAGCTAAATATCTATTGCTTTACCTGAGCAACAAAATATCACCTCTAAATAGAGATATCAAATAACTGTAGGTAAATACATTCCCTCGGCCAAGGATTCAGATGCAGTTGTCATAATTTCCATTTTTTTTTCAGCAAAAAGGCAAACCTGAGGCAGCAAATGTTAACACTGGCTTCTCTGCAGTAAGCCAGTATAAATTAGTTCTAGCCTCCTCAGATACTCACCTGCACACCAGATTGTACAAGCTAGATGAGATCACAGGAGATGCAAAAATAACTGTTCTTTAAGATTACTCCATCTCCTAGTGTAACACACTTCCATATAAAAGGAAACACTAACAGAAAAGCTGCCGAAGTTGCTCACAAAACAGACCTAACTAACACCTAATTTAAATTTGTTTGTTTATTTGTGCATTTTAGTAAAAGAATATATCAGCCTTTGGGTACATAAAGTGATCACGAAAACCTTAGAATTTAAAACATTAAAGGCACTTGACACATACATACATATATATACATACCTTCATGGAGGTTTGATTTTCATACATAAAAGAAAGATATCTAATGGTACAATTACTGTTACACTGTTGTGTAAACTACTGTATATACATATATAGTATATAGTATTGTATACTATTGAATATACATATTGTGTACTACTATACCAGTACAACTGCCGCTTAGCAAACTCTCAGCAAATAAGCCCAAACCAGAAAAGGTACTGGACAGAGCAAAACTAGAAACTATGTATGCAAAGTTTGGTTTATATTTTCCTAAACAAATGTTATCAGCTGTACGGTAATAAAATCTCCTGAGAGCAACCACTGTGACAAGAAAGGCCCCACTGATATCGTATCAACTACACGTGGTTCTTAAACAGTTCCTTACATTCATTTTTCAAATTTACATCTCTGAATAACTTAAGAGCATGAACAAGTTATGTCATCTTAATCTTTGCTTCCTCCTCTAGTTTGTTTGTGGTCTCTGGAGAAACAGACTCTAACACAGATCTCTGCGGGTATTCACTATCAATCTCGTTCCAAGGAGAATGCAAAAATTATGTCCACAAATCACTACAGGTTTATAAACCCTATAAACACTAGAATTCACCCAATCTAATTCTATATGTTTAAAATTTTGGCATCAAGATTAAGGTTGTTGTAAAGAGTTCTCAACAATTTGTTAACGGAAACAGACACCTGAAAGGGGTGATCGTCTCTTCTTAAGACAGACATCTTAGGTACATATGCTAATAAAGGTAGGATCTCTCTTTTCATTGACTAGAGAAGGAATCTAGATGACTGTATACCACATATTTACATTTCAGATGGAACAAATCAGGATCTCTGCATTATTAAAAGCAAATATATCTTTTTTACCGCTATCACTTCTTTGCTGACAAATACCTTTTAAATATTAAAGAAGAAATTATTGTGAGAATGAATCTGCATTAAAAGTACACTGTATGTTAAAAACTATTATTTACTTGTCAGATGAAAGAAAGAATTAAAATTTGGTTCATGTTAAATACAGGAAAGCACAAACCTGCTTCAAAAGTGGAGACAATTACTGGAGAACTAGCCTTGCCTTCAATGGGTGCAGCATTAACATCTCCCGTAAAGACAGTGATGATTACAGAATATCTTGTAAATGCTTTTAAATCTGAAATTTCTAAGACTTTATTCTCATCGTTTGTCTTCAGAAACTGAGCTTTATAACTGTTGTTATCTACCTGTAAGATAAACAAATAAAAAAACCTTACAAGACAGCAAAGAGCCAAGAGCGGAATCTCATTATTTGAATTTACCTTTTCCAACTTTCCTGTACTTTTACATAAAAAGATACATACAAAATCTTTACCTAGCAACATCAGAAAGCTTCACAGAGGACTAAATTCCCATTCCACCCATTTACTGCTTCCTCAGTACTTCGTGTAATACAGGATTAAGGATATGACCTGTTTGCTGGGTGCTATCTTTCACCAAGCAAGGAAGAACTAGACGCTAGGCCAGTGGAACTGTAATAATCTGAAATGGCAATTAAAAAAGGCAGAGATACAAAAGATGAGCTGCAAATGGTCTGAAGCTCGAAATCGAAAAGAAAAATGAGAAGGAATTCCTGATGTTGGTGTCACTAGAGAGACAGACACAGCAATTCCTCCTTGGATATATAAGCAGAAGAACTGTTTCTAAGGTGGGGAGGGGTAATTATTTCACTAGAAAAGCTGGAAAAGAGAAATAATCAAGGTTCAATCTAGAAAAGATGCAGTGGCAGAAAACATAGTAACAGCTTCAAAATGTAAAAAGGAATCTTCCTAAACTGAAGATAATCTGATGTCCATGATGTGTGCAAATGCAAACAGAAATGGTGGTCTTTGTGCCAAAATAGATTTGAAGCAAACACAAGCAGTATCTAGAAACTAAATATATAACTAAAACTATATCTATAGAACAGTTTTAAAAAAGGACCGATGTATTTAGGCCTGCTGAGGAATTTTCAGCACTGGGCATTTTCAAGAACAGGCTAGAGAATCATCTGTCAGGAAGACAGACATCCTTGTTTCTATTCTAGAGCAAGGATATGGACCAGATGACTTCTTGAGATCGCTATCATTCTTACATCTAACATAATCTGTAGTTCTGCATAAAAGTCTACAGAAGCGGCCTTTATACCCAATAAATCACTTCTGACATTAGCTTAAAAAAGGAGAAAAGGGGAAAACAGGAGCTTTTCTAGGGTACGATCAAGTATCGTTTTACAATACTGTTTTTACGTCTGTTCCCACTACTTCAGTTAATGATGTTTTCATTATTGTTTCTTTAGTGTGTAATTTGAAAAAGGATTAGGTAGCTGTACAGTAGTTTTCCCACTGGATGAAATCTGTGTAAAAGGCAGCTGCTAAAACATTAGACTAGTTCAAGCATACCTTTTATTTGACAGATATGCATCTATCCCCACTGAGAATTAACCTGAACTAAACTTTCTGATGGACTAAACAGACACTCATTTCCTGGGATGGTCCTCGAGAGCTGAAATACTTCTTGCTATCAGACTATCAAAAATATGGCTTATAAATATTCATGCAAAAGCTAAAATATAATAAGCAACACGTTTTAAAAATTATTAATATTCTTCATAAATTTTTATGGATCAGTTTCATCTCCCTTACTCATTTTCAGTATTATTTTATTCAAGACTACTCCTAATTATAGTAGGAAAGGAGACAAATTAAAATATGATTTGGAGGAATAATAATGACCAAGTACTTTTTAGTTTTTCTGATCTACATAACTGTAAGAAACAGCCTAGCAATTTAAACAGAAACCTAGTACATTTAGTAAAGGATATTAATTACTGCCATTTAAGAAGAAAGATATGACAGAGCAGGAATCTGAAGTTATTCTGTTCTGTGAGCCTATTTTTATAAATTGTTAAAGAGATCCAGCTGAGGACTAAAATGAGTAAAGTAGTAACAGAATATTTGTGGAATTCAGAGTTTTCTTACAAACCTTCCCACAGGGACAAACTATACACTCAACTTCTCACTGTAAAAAGACTGCAGCAGTTCTATTGCCTTTAAGTAGGAAAAGATTTGCCTACTAAGAAGATTTCCACAGAAAGTTTTCTCTACAGAACTGATACCTGTACTTACTAAATATTAAAAATGCAACATCTAATTACAAAGAATCCCTACATGTAAAGCTAGACACTTGAAATAAAATTTGTTAAAAAAAACACAAAAGCAAATGTATAACAGCAACATCAAAATCCTCCAAATAGAAAATTTAAAACCGGTTTTGAAATTAATTTTGAATGTTTACAGGTTCGTATAACAAATCGGTAATTCATCTTACTTTAGGAATTTTATTATATCTTATATTAATAAGATATTTGTAATTTTTTCATAGTGCAGAATCAGATGACATTCGATAATTTAGGAATTACCAGAGAGAGAAAGTATAAATTGCTTAAATAGAAATTGATGAAATATTGCATAGAAGGAAAACATGTCTTGAAAGCCTTGTTTGAAAGTTTTATTAAAACCATAAAAAATCCACTTTCTTAATGCTCTAAATTGATGTTTAGTCAAAAGTGACAGGAAAATTTCACAAGTTAAATATTTTCTTTAGTTTTTATAAAGGAAGAATCCACCTTTTCTGGTTTCCAGTGACGTGGGACAAAGAACAATTCCTTTCTGGATAGCATTTCCCTCTTCCTTCTATAATACATATAGTATCACAGAATCACAGGATGGTTGAGGTTGGAAGGGACCTCTAGAGATCATGTTGTTCCTCATATGGAGGAGGAACTTCCTGTGTTTCAACCTGTACCCATTACCCCTTGTTCTGTCACAAGGAAAGTTTGGCCCTGTCCTCCCTACACTCTCCCCTCAGGTACTTAAACATATTGATCAGATCTCTTAGCCTTCTCTTCTCGAGACTAACCAGGCCCAGCTTGCTTAGTCTTTCCTCATAAGATAGATGCTCCAGCCCCTTAATCATCTTTGTGGCTCTTTGCTGGACCCTCTCTAGAAGCTCCACGTCCCTCCTGTACTGGGGAGCCCAGAACTGCACCCAATGCTCCAGGTGCGGCCTCACCAGAGCTGAGCAGAGGGGCAGGATCCCCTCCCTCCACCTGCTGGCAACGCTCCTCCTGATGCAGGCCAGGATCCCATTGGCCGTCTTGGCCATGAGGGAGAATAATAATCTCAGCATTATTATTTTAACATGGCTTATACTTTTTCTTATGACTTGTGTAGAAACACTGAAGATAAATACATAAAAGACTATTGTCTCCTCAGGATATAAAATTAAGGCCTTTAAATAATGTTAAGCATCCTTTAAATTGTTTCCCATTATAGACTGATTCAGGATTTTTGAAACTGTGAACAACACAGTTTTTCTGAGTAACTTTTTTCCTGGGTAAATCTGGAGAAGCACTTCCTGTTTTCATTGATAGCCCGATCTGTATAATTCCTGGATGAACAGGGAACCTACATCCTACTTAAAAATTCTCATATGCTAGACTTACGAAAGAGCTTCAGCTCTTGCTGCAGGGCAGGAAATGACTTGGGGTTTATCAAAAGTTCTTTTAAGCAGTGTTTTAAAAAGTAGTAAGGGAGATGAAAAGATGCAGCCACTAAAGCTAATCCCTAGTGTCAAGTTTTTTTCTTGCTTGCAGCCATCAAGGACCATGCTAGCTCGAGATATAGCTAATTTAATCCACAGAGCACCAGGTGGAAACAGGGAAATCTAGTTTGACCTTAAATATTTGCCCTCTGATACACTCTGTAACTTTGTAAAGGTCTCTTCCTTTTGCCAGGTTCTCCATACTCATTTCTAAAGTTAAGACAAGGATAATTTCCATCCTTTGAAGGAAAAAAAATTGTAATTATTATTATTAATGCTAATCAGCATCCTATTACACAGCATGTTGTTGGAAGGAGGTACATCTAGCCCTGCAATTTTAGCTGTTTTCCTGAATAAATTCATAGCTATACTTTTTTTTTTCTGAAAACCCTCTTAGTCCAGATTATTTAACTGCAAATAATTAGGTTATTTTCTGTTAAGAAATTTATCGAGTACATTTATTTCTTATGTGCAGAATCATCAGTTTAAATGAAAATGGACATTTTAGTCATATTATCTGTTTATGTCTGTCCTGCAATATATATATA